ACTGCTAAACTAGTCAACCTGTCCTCGTCCCCACCCACATAGACTTTTTCGGGTGAAGCCATAATGTTAAGTTAATCTTTAGTAAATACAGAGATAAAATATTTATTAAAAATACTGCTCATCTCTTCGTCATTATCAGTTATCTGACCTGTCCCAGTTTTTAATGGACCTATACTTTCCCTAATTTTTGTTCGATATAACTGAAAAAAAAACTTTAGGATTTGTCTTTCCTTGCCCTGCTATGCGAACTTCATAGTTTCTTTTTGCCCTCCTTATCTCTTTTACAACATTTCTAACCAGTTGGACGAATTCCCGTTCTAAACAAACTTCCTCATTCTTAATCCTTTTGTCCCAAGCTCTCTTTCTGCCCACCCCCTATGCCCAAGACTTTCCAATCTAAATCACCCAAAAACATTCTTAGGCATTAAAATCAGCTTTTCCAAATTCTGACACTTCAACAGAATTTTATCCTACAAATCTCTTCCATTTTATGCGAAATCTGATTTCTTTGTAATCACTGTCCTCTAGCTCACTCCCTATTTCAATGTCATTATTTTGTTTCCCTGTTAGTTAACAATAAGTCGAAAATATTAGTTTCCTGCATTGGTTTCTTAATGTGTTGCTTAAAAAAAGCAATCGTCAATTAATTCTAGAAAATTTTCTGCTTCATTTTTCCCTGTTCTGTTAAAGCCAGTTTATTTCACTAAAATTAAAGTCACCCATGACATAAATACTGCTAGACCTAGATGCTCTAGATATTTCATCCTATTGCTTCCATTCTATCTAAGTTTGGTGGCCTGTATATATAACTCCTATCATAAATTTTTTACCTTTTTCGTTTAATTCTAGTCAAATAGTTACTATGTGTGACTCAGTTTTGATTCCCTCTTTGAGGCTGCATTTCAAATTTTCCCTAACATATATATGGCTACTTCCCCTCCTCGTCTAATATACAGTGGCCACGTCTGTGGTAGAAAATAATAATAATAACAAAAAAGTATCTGTGTGAAATAGTTTAAATCCGTTTATTTGACATTCAGCTAATAGTTCTCTATTTTCTACATTCACCCATGTTTCAGTAAGTGCAATAATATCTATTGTTTTTGTGCAGACAAGAGCTTTTAAATCATTTATTTTGTTTCTTAGACTCCTATTGTTCGTGTAATGTACCTGAAGTGTATTGTTATTTTGAGGCTTTCTCCTTCCCTGTTCATTTGCCATTTCCCCCCCCCCCTTGTCCAACCACTTGGGCTGGACGGTAGAGCGACGGTTTCGCTTCATGCAGGTCGGCGTTCAAACCCCGACCGTCCAAGTGGTTGGGCACCATTCCTTCCCCCACATCCCATCCCAAATCCTTATCCTGACCCCTTCCCAGTGCTATATAGTCATAATGGCTTGGCGCTTTCTCTATAAATTATTTTTATTATTATGTTCCCCCCCTCCAACCAACACATACGTATATTGCCTCCTTTCCTCATATTAATTCCCATATCACTATCTACTAACAGTTTAAACCCAAACAAATGCCTCCAGCCACAGGTCCAACGAGTTTGAAACATCAACAACTCCAGCCCTAGATAAATGCACCCCATTCAGAGCATCTGAGCACCGCTCCTTTGCCAGGTAAGTCCACTACGGGCTCGCCATAGCCAGTGCTACTTGTCCCGCTCTTGTGCCAGGTAAATTACGGGCTCACCATAGCCCGTGCTACTTGGGACTTGCTCCGAGTAGCTGAATCTATAGCAACAACGGAGCATCCACGTCATTCCTTCCATAGAAGTGTTCCCGGTTATCAATATGGTGAATCTTTTTGTCCGACAGGAATCGTCACTTCAAGAAAAGTACGTCTTTTTCAGACATCTGCCGTGACAGCCATGTGCGTGGCTAGACAGCCAGCGTGACACAGTCATGTGCGTGGCTAGACAGCCAGCGTGACAGTCATGTGCGTGGCTAGACAGCCAGCGTGACAGTCATGTGCGTGGCTAGACAGCCAGCGTGACAGTCATGTGCGTGGCTAGACAGCCAGCGTGGCTAGACAGTCATGTGCGTGGCTAGACAGCCAGCGTGACACAGTCATGTGCGTGGCTAGACAGCCAGCGTGACAGTCATGTGCGTGGCTAGACAGCCAGCGTGACAGTCATGTGCGTGGCTAGACAGCCAGCGTGACAGTCATGTGCGTGGCTAGACAGCCAGCGTGACAGTCATGTGCGTGGCTAGACAGCCAGCGTGACAGTCATGTGCGTGGCTAGACAGCCAGCGTGACAGTCATGTGCGTGGCTAGACAGTCATGTGCGTGGCTAGACAGCCAGCGTGACAGTCATGTGCGTGGCTAGACAGTCATGTGCGTGGCTAGACAGTCATGTGCGTGGCTAGACAGCCAGCGTAACAGTCATGTGCGTGGCTAGACAGCCAGCGTGACAGTCATGTGCGTGGCTAGACAGTCATGTGCGTGACTAGACAGCCAGCGTGACAGTCATGTGCGTGGCTAGACAGCCAGCGTGACAGTCATGTGCGTGGCTAGACAGACAGCGTGACAGCCATGTGCGTGGCTAGACAGCCAGCGTGACACAGTCATGTGCGTGGCTAGACAGCCAGCGTGACACAGTCATGTGCGTGGCTAGACAGCCAGCGTGACAGTCATGTGCGTGGCTAGACAGCCAGCGTGACACAGTCATGTGCGTGGCTAGACAGGCAGCGTGACACAGTCATGTGCGTGGCTAGACAGGCAGCGTGACACAGTCATGTGCGTGGCTAGACAGCCAGCGTGACACAGTCATGTGCGTGGCTAGACAGCCAGCGTGACAGTCATGTGCGTGGCTAGACAGCCAGCGTGACAGTCATGTGCGTGGCTAGACAGCCAGCGTGACAGTCATGTGTGTGGCTAGACAGCCATGTGCGTGGCTAGACAGTCATGTGTGTGGCTAGATAGCCATGTGCGTGGCTAGACAGTCATGTGCGTGGCTAGACAGTCATGTGCGTGGCTAGACAGTCATGTGCGTGGCTAGACAGCCAGCGTGACACAGCCATGTGCGTGGCTAGACAGCCAGCGTGACAGTCATGTGCGTGGCTAGACAGCCAGCGTGACAGTCATGTGCGTGGCTAGACAGCCAGCGTGACAGTCATGTGCGTGGCTAGACAGCCAGCGTGACACAGTCATGTGCGTGGCTAGACAGTCATGTGCGTGGCTAGACAGCCAGCGTGTCACAGTCATGTGCGTGGCTAGACAGCCAGCGTGACACAGCCATGTGCGTGGCTAGACAGTCATGTGCGTGGCTAGACAGCCAGCGTGTCACAGTCATGTGCGTGGCTAGACAGCCAGCGTGACACAGCCATGTGCGTGGCTAGACAGCCATGTGCGTGGCTAGACAGCCATGTGCGTGGCTAGACAGCCATGTGCGTGGCTAGACAGCCATGTGCGTGGCTAGACAGCCATGTGCGTGGCTAGACAGCCATGTGCGTGGCTAGACAGCCATGTGCGTGGCTAGACAGCCATGTGCGTGGCTAGACAGCCATGTGCGTGGCTAGACAGCCATGTGCGTGGCTAGACAGCCAGCGTGACACAGTCATGTGCGTGGCTAGACAGCCAGCGTGACACAGTCATGTGCGTGGCTAGACAGCCAGCGTGACACAGTCATGTGCGTGGCTAGACAGCCAGCGTGACACAGTCATGTGCGTGGCTAGACAGCCAGCGTGACACAGTCATGTGCGTGGCTAGACAGCCAGCGTGACAGTCATGTGTGTGGCTAGATAGCCAGCGTGACACAGTCATGTGCGTGGCTAGACAGCCAGCGTGACACAGCCATGTGCGTGGCGAGACAGCTAGCGTGACACAGCCATATGCAGGGCGAGACAGTGAGCGTGACACAGCCATATGCAGGGCGAGACAGTGAGCGTGACACAGCCATATGCAGGGCGAGACAGTGAGCGTGACACAGCCATGTGCGTGGCGAGACAGCCAGCGTGACACAGCCATATGCAGGGCGAGACAGTGAGCGTGACACAGCCATATGCAGGGCGAGACAGTGAGCGTGACACAGCCATGTGCGTGGCGAGACAGCCAGCGTGACACAGCCATATGCAGGGCGAGACAGTGAGCGTGACACAGCCAGGTATATGCAGGGCCAGAGAGCATGCATGAGTCAAGCATGACAAGAGAACAGGCGTGACACAGATAAATGCCGCGTACGAGGGAGAGAGTGACACTGTCATCTGCATGGCGTGAGAGTGTGACAGGGTGGTCACGCTCGCCCGGCTGACAGCTTAATAACCTCAGGCCCTTGCAAAGTTGCTCTCTTGCACTCTGCTGGCCTAATCTTCCTTTACCATCAATGACAAGTACTGTATATCAACTCGGGGGATTATTATTGGAATAAAATTTTTTTCATAAATGTCAAAAAGTAATGTTGATGGGATGAGGTTGTTGTTGTTAAAGATTCGCTACCAGGAACAAAAAGTTCCAAGTAGCACGGGCTATGGTGAGCCCGTAACGGGATGAGGTGTAACGGCCCGCGGGCATAGCACGTGGAGGGTGGTAGGCTTACGGCCGCCGCCTCCTCTCTTTACCCTCTAATTCCTGTCATTGTCACGCTCGGTGAGACAGTACAATTTATTACAATCATCATATGTCGAGTGTTGGTGATGGTATTTATTTTATTGTTCAACTATTATGTACACCTGTTTGTTTACATCTATCACAATGAGGGCCCACTAGCTCCCCGCCGCGCTGGTACGTTGCTCGCGATTGGCGGAGAGCAGAATGTGCGCGTTCGAAGCAGCCAATGGCGTGGCCGGACACAAAAGTACTCTGAAGTCAAGCGAAGGCTGAAGAAAGCTCGCATACTTCCATATTTCCCCCATTTTAAACCCTAGACAAACCCAAAAATAAATTAAACCCTTCAAATATAACAGAATACGGGGTTAAAGCCGAGTAAAGCATTAAATAGCGGCGGGAATGGGGTTATTTAGAGCGTGAGGTTGAGTGTTGCCATTGGGGGAGGATGGGAGCTCGCGCGGCTGCCACCATAACTGGATATACTCCCTCACCGGCGCAAAACATGGGGTGGAATCCAGATACAGACGCTTTAGCACAGATTTTAGGATTACTGCGCGAGTCACAATCCCCGGACACTGTAGTGCAACAATCAGTGCAACAGGTAGAATATGTTTTATTGGCCGTGAGTGTGATATAAGCGCGAGAAATGGGTGAAAGTTGTCGGGTTATGTCGCTGCTGGAGAGTGTGTGGGGGGGAGGGGGGATGGCGGCGGTGGACCGCTGATCAAGAAGTGCTAAGTATTGATTTTCCTTTTTTTTCTGGGCGTGAGGTGGGGCGTGTGGCTCCCGCCGTGGTATGTGAGGCTGGCCGGGGGGCGGCTGGTGGAGGCGGCGGTGGGGGAGGAGCTGGGCCTGGTTGGTGGCCTGGATATGGTGGGTGGTGGGTGAGCAATGTTTACATGATGCCAGCAGCAGCAGCCCTCCTCCACCTTGCTCTACCTTGCCCCACCTTGCCCCTCCACCTTGCTGCTCCACCTTGCTCTACCTTGCCCCTCCACCTTGCCCCACCTTGCTCCACCTTGCTCCACCACCTTGCTCTACCTTGCCCCAACTTGCCCCTCCACCTTGCTCCACCTTGCCCCTCCACATTGCTCCATCTTGCCCCACCACCTTGCTCTACCTTGCCCCACCTTGCATCACCTTGCTGCTCCACCTTGCTCCACCACCTTGCCCCACCTTGCACCACCTTGCCCCTCCACCTTGCTCCAACTTGGTCCACCTTTCTCCATCTTGCTCTACTTTGCTCCACCTCGCCACCTTGCTCCATCTTGCTTCACCTCACCACCTTGCTCCTACATCTTGCTCTACCTTGCTCCATATCACCATATCACCTTGCCCCACCTCGCCACCTTGCTTTACCTTGCCCTACCTTGCTTCACCTCGCTCCACCTTGCCTCACCTCGCTCCACCTTGCCTCACCTCGCTCCACCTTGCCTCACCTCGCTCCACCTTGCCTCACCTCGCTCCGCCTTGCCTCACCTCGCTCCGCCTTGCCTCACCTCGCTCCGCCTCGCCTCACCTCGCTCCGCCTCGCCTCACCTCGCTCCGCCTCGCCTCACCTCGCTCCGCCTCGCCTCACCTCGCTCCGCCTCGCCTCACCTCGCTCCGCCTCGCCTCACCTCGCTCCGCCTCGCCTCACCTCGCTCCGCCTCGCCTCACCTCGCTCCGCCTCGCCTCACCTTGCTCCGCCTCGCCTCACCTCGCTCCACCTCGCCCCACCTCGCCTCGCCTCGCCCCACCTCGCCTCGCCTCGCCCCACCTCGCCTCACCTCGCCCCACCTTATTCCTTCTTCCTCCACCTCGCTCCACCTGGCTCCATCTTTCTTCACCTTGCCCCACCTCGCCCCACCTCGCTCCACCTTGCCCCACCTCGCTCCACCTTGCTCCACCTCGTTCCACCTTGCTCCACCTCGTTCCACCTTGCCCCACCTCGCCCCACCTCGCTCCACCTGGCTCCATCTTCCACTTGCCCCACCTCCACAGCTCCATCACCACCACCTCGCTCCACCTTACCACCTAGCTCCATTTTCCCACCTTAATAAACTTGCATACGCTCTTCCCATGGATAGGGAAAAGGATTGGAGCTTAAGGCGTTATATAAGCCATGTTATTTTTATCACAGGCATCCAGAGTGAGGAATTCTCACATTGCATTGGTGTGTTTTATGTGACATTTTCCAAATTGTTAAGTTTCTGGAGGAACTGGAAAGGTTAGGTGCACTTCTTCATACTGGAATTGCTTTTGTTAGATGTACCTTTCATGAACCTAGTGTCCGGCGACATGCGCACCATTCAAAGCGGGTCGTTCGTGGACGCATGTTATTCCCCCCCCCCCAAAGAATGATCATTATGAAACGAGGCACTAATAATAATTTGTAAAAAAAAATTTGGGTCTGGAAATTGTGGTAATGTATTATTGGCCAGATTTATAAGTAGAATTTGATGCATCTCTGTATCTCAGGAAATTGAAAACGTGTGTTATTTCTCTGTTGGATAATGTTGCTTGTGGCAGTTGGGGCTGGTAAATGATTATTGTGCAGTGGCACTTTGTTATTGGTGTGTGGGATGCTGGTGTGTCAATGGGCCACCTAAGGTGCAGGCTTATATGGTGCTGTGGTTATTGCAGACAGGCCTATGTAGTTGTCATGTTTAGATATAGATAACCTTCTAACCCCACCCCCCCCAAGTTATCCTCCCCCCACCTCCCCGAAGTTATCCTTCCCCCCACCTTCTCCGAGCGGTCCTGCCTCCACCACCTCCCCTCAATGCCATCCTTCCCTCAACCGCCCCCCCCACGAAAGCCGTCCTTCCCTCAACCCCCCCCCCCACGAAAGCCATCCTTCCCTCAACCCCCTCCACGAAAGCTGTCCTTCCCTCAACCGCCCCCCCACGAAAGCCGTCCTTCCCTCAACCCCCCCCACGAAAGCCGTCCTTCCCTCAACCCCCCCCCCACGAAAGCCGTCCTTCCCTCAACCCCCTCCACGAAAGCCGTCCTTCCCTCAACCCCCCCCCCCACGAAAGCCGTCCTTCCCTCAACCCCCCCTCCACGAAAGCCGTTCTTCCCTCAACCCCCCCCACGAAAGCCGTCCTTCCCTCAACCCCCCCCACGAAAGCCGTCCTTCCCTCAACCCCCCCCACGAAAGCCGTCCTTCCCTCAACCCCCCCCCCCCACGAAAGCCGTCCTTCCCTCAACCCCCCCCCACGAAAGCCGTCCTTCCCTCAACCCCCCCCCACGAAAGCCGTCCTTCCCTCAACCCCCCCCCCCCCCCCCACGAAAGCCGCCCTTTCCACAACCCCCCCCCACAAAAGCTGCCCTTCCCTCAACCCCCCCCCCCACAAAAGCTGCCCATCCCTCAACCCCCCCCCCCCCCCCACAAAAGCCGCCCTTCCCTCACCCCCCCTCCCACAAAAGCCGCCCTTCCCTCACCCCCCCTCTCACAAAAGCCGCCCTTCCCTCAACCCCCCCTACAAAAGCCGCCCTTCCCTCAACCCCCCCCCCCCCCACAAAAGCCGCCCTTCCCTCAACCCCCCACCCCACAAAAGCCGCCCTTCCCTCAACCCCCCCCCCACGAAAGCCGTCCTTCCTCAACCCCCCCCCCACGAAAGCCGTCCTTCCCTCAACCCCCCCCCCACGAAAGCCGTCCTTCCCTCAACCCCCCCCCTACGAAAGCCGTCCTTCCCTCAACCCCCTCCACGAAAGCCGTCCTTCCCTCAACCCCCCCCCCCCACGAAAGCCGTCCTTCCCTCAACCCCCCCTCCACGAAAGCCGTTCTTCCCTCAACCCCCCCCCACGAAAGCCGTCCTTCCCTCAACCCCCCCCACGAAAGCCGTCCTTCCCTCAACCCCCCCCACGAAATCCGTCCTTCCCTCAACCCCCCCCCACGAAAGCCGTCCTTCCCTCAACCCCCCCCACGAAAGCCGTCCTTCCCTCAACCCCCCCCCCCCCCACGAAAGCCGTCCTTCCCTCAACCCCCCCCCCCACGAAAGCCGTCCTTCCCTCAACCCCCCCCCACGAAAGCCGTCCTTCCCTCAACCCCCCCCCCCCCCCACGAAAGCCATCCTTCCCTCAACCCCCCCCCCACGAAAGCCGTCCTTCCCTCAACCCCCCCCCACGAAAGCCGTCCTTCCCTCAACCCCCCCCCCCCCACGAAAGCCGCCCTTTCCACAACCCCCCCCCACAAAAGCTGCCCTTCCCTCAACCCCCCCCCCACAAAAGCTGCCCATCCCTCAACCCCCCCCCCCACAAAAGCCGCCCTTCCCTCACCCCCCCTCCCACAAAAGCCGCCCTTCCCTCACCCCCCCTCTCACAAAAGCCGCCCTTCCCTCAACCCCCCCTACAAAAGCCGCCCTTCCCTCAACCCCCCCCCCACAAAAGCCGCCCTTCCCTCAACCCCCACCCCACAAAAGCCGCCCTTCCCTCAACCCCCCCCCCCCCACAAAAGCCGCCCTTCCCTCAACCCCCACCCCACAAAAGCCGCCCTTCCCTCAACCCCCCCCCCACAAAAGCCGCCCTTCCCTCAACCCCCACCCCACAAAAGCCGCCCTTCCCTCAACCCCCCCCCCCCCCTACCCACGAAAGCTGTCCTTCCCTCCACCCCTTTCCCCCCAAAGCTATCCTCTCGCCAATCCATCCCAAATACATGTATGATTTTAACACTTAGAAAAGAAGCTGTTGAAGCGCTGGTTTAGGATCAACCATACAATTGTGTGTTAATTTGACTATTATAAAAACTTGAGGCACTGCCATTTAACACTTTCATATTTAATCTTGCCTGATATCTTACATTAGTCCCCCCTCCCATAAAAAAAGTAGAATAAAATTCTTCAGTGAGTAGCATCAACTATTACTCGAACGTATTTGTGTGTGTGGTCACAAAATTGTTGAATTGGCCAAAAATGAGTTATTCACCCTGATGAATGAAGACAGTGAACAGTAATGCCCGAAACATCACTGGAACATTATCTAACAGTTACAACCACCACAGACCATTGGAACATTATCTAACACAGTGAACAGTTACAAACCCATTAAGATTTCAACTTAGATTCAACAGAGCAGTTGTTGTTGTTAAACACATGGGACAAAATCTTACTGAAGCGACCATATGAGTCATAAGTGCTCATACTCCGCCCAAGTAAAACAGAAACTAGCAACACTTAGCTCCTTAATTGGATGTTTGATTGTTTATTACTGAATTTTATTTATTACTGAATTACTGAATTATTATTTTGATGAATTACTGAATTATTATTTTGATTGTTTATTATTTAGACTGCATTTATTTTAGTAGGGCAAAGTGCTGCAAAAAATCTGAACTTGCTATGTCATTGATACTCTTAAACAAACTTAACTACATAATAAAAAATTGCCGTGTATATTTATAGCGTGGATGAGGTGTGGCATGTTCCATCACTATTACGTCTAATTTTCATGAATGCTTCGTAAATTTTGATCTGAAAGTTGGGCATTAAAGCGATGTGAACCTGGAAATTGTGGCACTTTCTAAAAGTTGGCATTTGGGAACTGTTTTGTGTAGCTAATTTTTAGGAATATGTTTTTCTGAATTACTTCCTTAATTCTCTTTGTAGTATACAGTAACAG